AAAAAATTTAAAAACTATTTAATATTTTATTTTATTAATTCAAATTGATGGATATATATATATATATACACGTTTATTTGAATTTATATAACAAAGTATCATATGACTTTCAAATTTTTTAAAAAAATTATAAATTTAATTTATACATTAAATTTTTTTAATTTAATGATTAAATTTTTAAAATTTAATATAGAACATAAGTAATTGAATGGAGTAAGTCTACTAAAATTCATTTTTAGAGTAAATGGATCCCATATATATATATATATATATATAATGTTAAATGTAAAATAATGATTTAAAAAGTAAAAGTAGTATTAAAAATCATTATTCATAATATATTAAAGGCTAAAAAATTTATAGAAGTAAATTATATGTTATTATATTATTTCATAAATCAATAAATATATTATTTAATTATATTGTAAAGCTATTTGTTTTTCAATATAAGTGCTTTGTATAATTATATTGTTTTATTTTAATATTATTTGAATTGGTTGAATGAGATTAGTTATGAAAGGACTCTAGAGTGAAGTTATAATGAAATAAAATAAAATGGAGTAGAGATAGAAGAGAAGAGAGAGATTGGGAAAAAAAAAAAAAAAAAGAAGGATGAACTTCATAAGTTTATTTCCTAAAATTCTTGAAAGATATAGTTAGAAAGTAGGGTTTTGGGTTTAAAGAAGTCCTCTTCCTCTTCTAGTCCTCATGTAAGCCCTTAATATTTCCTAAGTCATTGATTTAAGTCTTATTTAAGTGAAAGAGGATCCTTAGGACAAAAGTTGTTGAGGTAAAATTGAGAAGAAAAAAATAGCTAGAATCCTTGTGTTTAGGGGGTGTTTCTCTTGGGAAGCTTAGGCCAAGTCTAAAAGTTTGTAAAGCCTAAAGAGTAGAGAATAATTGGATTTTACTCTAATGTTGAATAGTGAAAATCATTTAGTAAGGAAGGGATTGGATGTAGCTCTTGGTATAAAGTGAACCATTATAAAAAGCTTTGTGTGTTTCTTTCTCTCTACTCTCTATTTAAATATTGGACAGACAATTCTAGCCTTTGTTTTCATAAACTAACTAGTTTTGAAAAAAAAATTCAAAAAATATCAAACACATAATTTAACTCCCCTTCTTGTAGTCTAACCTATTTCTTTTTCAATATAGTCACATCTCATTTAAAAGAATAATACACATCATTATATACATCTCATGTCATGCTTCATTGATAATTTAATGCAAGTATACATACAATGCCTGTGTCAAAATACCATGATATGTAAGGTAGCTTAGGAGCACATGATTGACAAAATATCACTTCACCATGAGTATCTTCTAACACCATTCTCACTAAGGTGAACATCCATTAGAACCTGGTCAATGTTATAAAGTCTTGCTAGGGTATTTCAACCACATGGGATCAATCATGGGCCATACGGTGATCCTAAACTAATATCACTGCCAAGGTTCAAATCTAAATGTTTGTAAAAGGGTCTCCTAGACATAGATTCACATTTATACTTCCAATATAGTTTTATATGTATATGATCCATAGCTCAAACAAAATTCGCATCATCACTTTAATTCTTGAGTTTTATTATTAAATAGGCCACACATCAAATGTCATCACAATCTTTTTATTTTTCATCTTAAGGAGACCACACATCAAGTGTCATCAGAAAATCCTATACATCTTAGAAAAGTTGCACATAAGTGTCATCAAAAGCTCTTATTCATCTCAACATCATTATCTATTCATCTTATCATCTCATGTTCTCATCTATACACAATATCTCCTTTCATCTCATCTTATATTATTTCATCAAAGGATCTTAAACTCTCAAAATTCACCAAAGACTAAGTTCAACAAAACAAAGGACTTACGATTACCACCATAGGCATAGTGACTAAAGGTTACTCCTAGTGGCTATCACGCTTAGTGCGACTTGATTTTCACTTAGCACCAAATCACTTGAAGTTCTTATGATATTGGCACTCCTACTTGCACTACTCATTAGGCCCCTAAGAGCTTAGTCATTTTCATTGATACACTCTTAGATACTTACACCATTGTTTACTCATATCAACGGAACATGTTGCTTAACCTTCATACTATTAGGGATATTTTTGACACAATGGATCTCATGGATTTATCGTCATTCCATTGCTTAATACTCATCTGAGTTGATCACTTAATTGAACCATCAACTCTAATATTAAGCATTAAGAACACGAAGGGGTTAACATTTGGGAGATCTACACATCTAGGACATTAGTAAACAACACAACTGAACTTGACACCACATCTTAACCAAACAACTTATTGCATTAGGTTTATAGGTCTTTCTCACTCATATGTTACTCAACATACCCAACTTTATCAAATATGAGACTCTCTTATTCACATTTTCACAATCTCTCCCTCAAATATGAGTCTCTTCCATATGGTACACCCCCCAAATGCAAGTCTTTTTTTACTCATGAGTATTAAATGGTTGCCTTAGAGTTTAACCATCACCACCAATATGCTCAAGATACTTTCACCGTAACTTGTGTAACGACCCGGCTGGTCCCTACACAAGGCACAGCACACTAGAAACACCGCACAGAAAGAACAACTGTATACATATAGAGTCTAGAATATACATATACATGATCCAATCTGAACAGAGTTAAAGTGTACAAAAATTTTACAATCAAATGCTACTATCCCAAGTAGCTCAACAACAAAACAACCATAAAGGAACATCCGCTCCGCCGGTCCGCTGAAGACTCACCACTAGACACCCACCTATCCCTGCTCTGCTCCCATACATAGTATGATCATTGCAGTCCAAACATCATGGAAACAACAAAGGGTAAGCTAGTGTAATTAAAAATCAACATACAATTATACAGCAATATAATAAACACCAGCTACAGTTATTAGCACACCTATACAGCTTATACCTCCTAACAATATCAGCACCGCAATGCGGCAATATCAGCACTGCTAAGCAGCAATCACAGCACCACTCAAGTGGCTATAACAGCACCGCAAAGCGGCAACAACAGCACCGACTTAGCGGCTATAATAGCACCACCTATGTGGCTAGTAACAGCACCGACTTAGCGGCTATAATATCACACCACTCCGCACAGCACAACACAGCATACAACACAGCTAGGTAGTATTCAATGGCCCAGCCCTCGGGTGCGGGTGGGAGCTCGGGGGAGGCGGGGCCGACGCCATTGGTGTAGCGAATGACACGTGTGGCGGTCAAGACCTTCTTGGTGAAGCGTGTAGAGGCAACCATGAAGTAGTCCTTGGGTTGCTGGTCAGCGGTGACGAGGACGGAGAAGCACTGTCCCACATGGACATCGAGGGAGTTGTAGACGTTCTGAACAACGTGTGAGCCTTCCATCTCAACGAGCTTCATGGGGTGGTTTTGGATTCTAAAGTTGAGGGCATCCTTGAGGCCAACGTTACAGATTCTGAATTTGTAAGTCTTGCCGGGCTCCATTGTGTAGAGGGGCTCAAGCCCAGCATTGGCCCCGTTGATGTGGACCCCGCTGGGCCTGCCGAGGCTGCGTCCACTGTCCAAGAACTGCTTTAGGGTCTGGTGTGTCTTGGCGAACCAGTCCCCGAGGAGGACCCAGTACTCGTCAGCAGGATCAGCATATGGAACGGGGATCAACAGGCGACTGTAGATCCTAAGACCACCAAATCCACCGACAGCACGGTGCATACCTGTGGTAGGATAATAAAAGTAGCTTCCGATTTGGTCCTTGACCTGGAAGTGGTAAGTGTAGTTGGTGCCTGGGGCAATGGGGCATTGGGTGCCCAATGTTCCATCTTGCCATGAGTTTTTCCTCAACTGGATACCGCTCCACGTGAACAAGAGGGGCTCGTCCAGGTAGTTGAATACGTTGATGACAATGTTGTTGTTGCTGGTGGAGTTGATTTCTGGACCTGGGAATTGGCCGTTGATGAGGATACCCTGTTGGGGAACACCCAATGGGGCTACGCTTCCGTATGTGACGTTCCACGTGAAGTAGAGGTAAGGGTCCTCGCTCCTCACCGTTGCTGCCATCAGGCAAAGCATCAACGCGATCATCGAAACCCTACCCATTTTTATTTTCACCAAGGATTTGTTTTTTTAATTTTCTTATTCAACCCTTTCCTATCTCCTTCCTTTTATTTTTGGGAAGAAGATAGTTTTTAGCTATCTCCTTCTACTTTTCCTTTGGGGTTCTAAAACTGCCCTTTTATAACTTAGTCTCAGTTTCCACCACCCGAACATGTCTCTCTGCCACCATACTTTTGTTTGGCTCACCTTGCATGTCGCTACCCAACGTCCTCGTATCTTTCGCTCTTCCACTCTTTTCTTTCCCACTTTGATTTTGAATTCTCGCCAATTTAATAGCTATGTCATAGTGATAATAACACTAAATAATTTAGAGAACAATTAGGCCATACAAAGTCAATAACAAATGGAAAAAGACAAAAAAAAAATTTATATATAATAACAAGTAGATTTGCAAATATAATATAAAATTTTGGATATTGTAATAACTATAATAAATCATTCAGTTTTACAACAAAATCAATTATTATTTTATTAATTTATTCACTTCAGAATAAGAATATAGTAAGTAAACGAATTTCAATTTTAATAACTATCTCATAGTGATAATAACACTCGATAATTTAGAGAACAGTTAGGGCATACAAAGTCAATAACAAATGGAAAAAAATGGTATTTATAGTATATATAAAGAGAATAAATTTTTCAGTAATTATTTTTCACTAAAACTTTCGTCCAACATATTTTTATATATAAGTTTTATAAAATCATTTTAGTTTATGATTCAAAAACTACTATATATAAGTTAGATTTCTTCGTACTAACAGACACATATTCAACCCCCCTTCTATGTGTTTTTTCGCTAACTTCAAACCTTAGGTTGTGTAGCGCCCAGTGTGACCAAGACAAAAGCTCTATGCCAAGTGACATTGGACTTGAGATAAAATTGTCTTTAGCTGAAATGGGGTTGGGCGTGGGTTTAGCCACGCCAAACATAATTTGTTGAGGGCATTTTTGTTCACATCCACATCAGGTAGGAGTTGAATGGCGTGGGACATAGATGAGACAAAGAGTTCTCTATCTCAGTGATGTCGGGTGCAGGGTGGATAACATCGGACGTGAGTTGTTAAACTAGCTTCCCTTACCTTGGTGGAAGATTCCGAGCTTCGGAAAAAAGAGAATGATGAAGAAGAAGAGGAATGAGTTTGAAGAGAACTCCGTACGGCTCAGCTGAGTCCAACATTGCTATCAGCACCTTGATTTCCAAGAGAAAATGATCAGCCAAAAGAAGATTGAGGAGAAAGGTGTTTTGAGTGGGTAGACAAAGAGAGTGAGTGAGGGTTCGGAGGGGAGAAGAAAATATATGGAAGAACGGGGCCTCACAACTTGCATTGTCATTTAGCCCCAAGAGCTTAGCCATTCATTATTGTCATCAATATCTTCTAGATATTTGCCTTGTTGCTAGCACTGCTCATTAGGCCCTTAGAACTTAACCTTCATACTAGTATGAAAACTTTTGACGCAATGGATCCTTTATTTGGATCTACTGCTTCCATTACCCAATACTTGTTTGAACTGGTCACTAGATGGAACCATCAATTCTAATAGCAATAGTTGAGACGATGAAGGGGTTAAACACTAGGGAAAACTCCATTAATGGGTTATGAGCAAATCAAACGAGTAAACTTACATGTTATTTTAACTCAAAATCTTAAGACGTTAGATCTTTAAGTCTTTCTTACTTATATTATATTCAACATATCCAACTATATCTAATATATTAACATTTTAGGTTAAGATCTAATATTGAGTTCACTTGTATAGTTTACTCAGAAGTCCTTAATAAAATATTTGATATTTAATCTATTCATATTCTTAACAAAATTATGTTATATAATATAATAATATTAAAAATTAAGATGATTATGATTTGTTAATTTTAAAAACTAAAATGGCATATGAATTTAAAGTGTAAAACTTTGTAGATAGGAAAAAAAATCATAAGAATTAATGTAATTCACAACAACTTTGATGTAATTCACAACAACTTTGCTCAATCTACTCGGCTAAATCTGAGCTTTTGTACATTGCTAATGAGCACTATGTTATTTTTTATGATTGTTAAAATAATTATTATATGTAATTCAAAATAACTTTTTTATCTTCTTAAAATAGTTAACTTTTAAAAAAATGGATATGTCATATTTGAAAATTATGACTTTCAAATGCAAATCGTGTTTTTCAAATACAACTCTTATTTTATTTTATTTTTACAAAAGTCATATTTATTTATTATTTCAATATTTTCAAAATGACAAAGTCATGTTTGGAAGACGCAACTTACTTTGTTTTGTTTTCTTATTTCCTTGTTAAAATAATATTTTTTATATAAAATTAAAAAATCATAATTTTAAAGACGACTTTATTTTAAAAAGAAAAGCGAATATCGTGTTCTGTAAAAAAGTTATGTTATGTTATTATACAAACACAACTCATCTGTTCTTAATCTTTTTAAAATCCTTACCATTTCATAAATTTTTCGAAATTTTTTTTCCCTTATCAGTAAAAAAAAAAAAGAAAAAAAGAAAAAAGAGCTTTTCTATATAAAAAAAAATAGTACATAATAAGTTCAATTAAATTGTATACCAAATATTATTTAATTTTACTGTAGTAGTTCAAACGTTGGTTTTGGAGCTACCAGTTTTAGAAACCGGACCGAACAAGGAACAATACAAACGAGTACCATCTGGTTTCTGATCGAAGCAGAAACAAAAGCAGTATTTTCCAACAAGTATTGCAAGTGAAGCAGACCAAATTTCTTTCAATGCCCCAAACATAACGCAAAGAATAAAGGATACACATAAGTGTAAAAAAAAAACAAAAAAGAAAAAGAAAAAATTGTCCACCGCCATGGATTCGCAGCAACGAACGGTGGCTTCTCCTCCGTCGCCGCCAGGCCACGATTCCACCGCCACTCTCATCGCCTTCCTAATATTCTTTGCCATTGCCGCTCTGGTAACTCTCTCGTCATTGTGATTTCGAAATATTTCCAATCGCGCTTTCGATAAACGACGACGCATGAGTTTATTGCACCTTCATTTTTTTCATGTCGTTTGGGAACAGTTAATGTCGTAGAACTGCAATGATGTTTATTTGAATCTCGCTCGTATATGTAATCCTTCTATCGTTTCATTAATCACTTGCCTCAGTTATCTGATTTGGTTTGCCTCTCTCTTCTTGCATGATTGTTTTCCGATTGATTTTCGTGTTTTATTTAACTTGTAACAATGTGTATCATTTTTAGTTTGTTATGTGCTTTTAGTGTAGCAAGCATTCATTTGGTTCTTATATTTGCACCATTTTTGCTTTTGTTCCTGTAGCTAGTAGAAACTAGTGATTTTAATCTCTATTAGAATTACATTTTGGTTTCTGTCCCTGAGTGTGTCTTAAGTCTAATTGCCAGAAAATTTGTAGTGGCTTTACACCGTTAGTTTTTATTTTGTGGTGATGCTAGTTAATGGACACTTAACAATAGGGATCAAAACGGAATCAAAAGTGCTTGTGTAGGTATAGGGATTAAAACGTGTAGTTTCTAGGTATAGGGATCAAAATGGGAAAATGCGGGAAGTGTAGGAAACAAATGATTAATTAAACCAATTTAATGAAACACGCGAGGTGGAGTTGTATTAGTTGGCACATTAAATGTGATAAACTAAATGTTTTATTTGATCACTTTTGGATAAGGTCTGAGGCCTCACATTCAGTAATAACGTGACAAAGTGAATGTAATTACTAACATCCGAATGGGTGAGATAACCTTTTCTGCATGAACTATGATCCGGTATTGCTCATTCATGAGGTGAAAGCCTGGGATAATAAACCTTCAATTATCTGCTTACAGTTTTTAGATTGAGGATGGTGGAAAGTTCTAAAATACTGAAGTTAAATCATAATGAATAAGCTAATAGCCTATTTGTCTTGATTTGTTGTTGCTTTGGCATTAATTCTTGCTCACTAGTTTTTTTGGGAAGATCAGTTCATATAATAAAGATGTTCTGCTTACAATTTTCATCTTTGATTTGTTTTTCAATGTTGACTGTGTTGGAAATTTCCCTGAATTAATTAAGGTTTCCAAAAATTTAGTTTTTGATAATGATCTTTGTAGCCAAACCACATAATGGGATAAGGTTTAGTTATTGTTCTTTTTGAACTATGTCTTACAATTGAAAAATATTTAAATTGATTACACTCAACCTTTAAAGCTTAAAAACTTGTGATATATCTACAGGTTTTGGTTCCTTCAGCATCCCCATCCTTCCAAAATTCCTTGTCCATTCTGCACCAAGTACCTGAAGGCCATGTTGGGGTATATTGGAGAGGAGGTGCCCTTCTGAAAATAATTACAGAGCCAGGTGCTAAATACTCCTTTGTTTTCTTCAATGTATACTAGCACAAAGGTTTGCTTCATGTTCTTGATATTAATTTTACAGGTTTCCATCTAAAGATGCCTTTCATAACTCAGTATGAACCTGTCCAAGTGACACTTCAGACAGATCAGGTAACTTGATTAGAGCAAGTTCGAGGTGGGAATTACAGTCTCCTTTGGCTTTATAATTTGGATTTTTTATTTATGGTGACTATTGCAGGTGACTGATATACCCTGTGGTACTAAAGGAGGAGTTATGATCAATTTTGGGAAGATTGAGGTGATAGCAAATATTTTTTCATTATGTAATCTTAGATTCACTGGTGTTCTTTTTTTATTCACGTCTTTAATACTATGCACTGATTTACATTATTCTTTGAGGTTGTTAATCGACTCCACAAGGAATTTGTCTTTGAGACATTGCTCAACTATGGTGTGCATTATGATAAGACATGGATATATGACAAGATTCATCATGAGATCAATCAGTTCTGCAGCTCTCATAGTCTTCAACAAGTCTATATTGATGTGTTTGACCAGGTTAACTTTGATATTTTACAAGTTTAATTTTATGGCCATAGTTTGTTTTATACTGGTAACTCCCATTTTGTACGGTAATTGTTAAGAATAAGATGACAGTTGGACTTGACACAAAAAATTTCAATGTAGTTCAGTAACTTGTAGCTTCTATTGTCAAGTTTTTATTGTTCCATACCTTGTGATTCTTTTCCTCCATTGTACCTCTGTTGAGATACACCAATATGCATCTTTTGGCTTCTGGTTTTTCTCCTTTCTTGTTGTGTCAATAAGTGTGTCAACATGCTATCATTGGAGCCTTTCAGATTGATGAAAAGATGAAAGATGCTCTTCAAGTTGACTGCACCCGCTATGCTCCAGGAATTGAGATCATAAGTGTCCGTGTCACAAAGCCTACTATTCCAGATAGCATAAGACGCAATTTTGAACAAATGGAAGAGGAGCGTACCAAGGTATATTTTCATTAAGAAGAGCTGTCATTTTCCTGTTAGCGTGTGGAGTTATACAGGTAAAACTTAGTTGATAATTTCATTTGAAGGAGACATGTTTATCAAACATGTGTGAGCACATGCACATATCAGTGCTTTTTCCCCCTTATGGTTGATTTGCACTGTCATTTCTCTGAGATATGTATGTCTTTTGTTGAGTCCTATAAATGCTTCAAGCGGGATTTTGTATGCTAGCTGTTCATCATTTTATTTTAGTTTTAGTTCTTTTCTTTTCAAAACAATGTTAAGCAAGGTGCTTTGGATTTTATGGGGTAGGTCTTAATTGCTATTGAGAAACAGAAAGTATCCGAGAAGGAGGCAGAGACTAAGAAGAAGATGGCCATTAGTGAGGCTGAGAAGAATGCCAATGTTAGCAAGATCCTTATGGAGCAAAAATTGTTGGAAAAGGATAGTGCTAGAAGACAAGAAGAAATAGAAAATGCAATGTACCTGGCACGTGAAAAGAGCCTGGCAGATGCAGACTTCTACCGGTGAGATTTTCCTATTCCTAATGTCTTTGTTGAATGCAAGTTTTATGAATAAAATATTATAATTTATGGTCTTGGAAAATATAAATGGCTAATTTTATTGTTTTTCCAATATCAAGTGTAATAAAGGAAGCTGAAGCAAACAAGTTGAAGCTCACCCCTGAATTTCTTCAGCTTAAATTTATTGAGGCCATTGCTAATAATACGAAGATCTTCTTTGGGGACAAGGTATTACTTTCCCCTCCCAGCTATGTCAATATTTGTCTGCCCTTGTGCACAGACTTGACCTTTTAGTCTGCTCTCCAGGTTCCAAACATGATTTTGGATCAGAGGCTGCTCGGAAACTTACTTCATGATGTTTCTAGAGGGAAAACTACAACGGCCAAAGCAGATATCTGATTTCTTAGCTGTTAGAACACTTCCATTTTTATTTAAGAAACAAGTAGAACTTGGTTAACATGTACAACATTACATAATTTTCTTTGTAAAAAATGTCGTTCTAATGAATTTTCAATTGAATCAATGGACAAACTTCATCTTCAACATTACCGACTAATGAAGATAATAATTTTGAGCCTATTATATAGACCTAGGAGTATGAGCGAGAAAATCCTAATGCTTGAAGGATTGATATAACTATGAATATATGGGTGAATGTTATCTAAAAGGACATGATATTACATAGAATTATTATTATTATTATTATTTATCCAGACATTGTTATTTTCTATTATTTATCTTTAACTCTTTAAATTTTAATCTATGAAAAAAAATCTTGAACTCTTTTCGTATGTCAAAAATCTACAAAATTATAAAAAGTCCTTAAAGTTTCACAAAATTTATTAAAATCCTGACTTAAAAGTCTTACAGAACTCATTAAAATCATGATTTAAAATCTTGCAGAATCTTACAAAGTCTTAAAAGTCATGAAAACAGACACATATTCAACCCCCCTTCTATGTGTTTTTTCGCTAACTTCAAACCTTAGGTTGTGTAGCGCCCAGTGTGACCAAGACAAAAGCTCTATGCCAAGTGACATTGGACTTGAGATAAAATTGTCTTTAGCTGAAATGGGGTTGGGCGTGGGTTTAGCCACGCCAAACATAATTTGTTGAGGGCATTTTTGTTCACATCCACATCAGGTAGGAGTTGAATGGCGTGGGACATAGATGAGACAAAGAGTTCTCTATCTCAGTGATGTCGGGTGCAGGGTGGATAACATCGGACGTGAGTTGTTTCATGAAAACTTGTTGGATTAAGAATATGTTGAACATATATAGGTTAGGTGAATCTATTGCAATATTGTATGTTGATTAATGTTGTTAGTTCTATATTTGTTGATTTGGGATATTGCATATAGATGAATAATTATTTATTGTTGAGGTGATGATGATGAGAATGCTTTAGGTGTTTAGGCATGTTATGCTAATTAATTATTGACTATTGAGATGAGGATGTTGAGAATGCTTAAGGAAATCAACTGAGATCACTTTAATCAATTATTTTGAGCAATCTAACTTATATAGTGCGAAGAAATCTAACTTATATATAGTAGTTTTTGAATCATAAACTAAAATGATTTTATAAAACTTATATATAAAAATATGTTGGAGGAAAGTTTTAGTGAAAAATAATTACTGAAAAATTTATTCTCTTTATATATACTATAAATACCATTTTTTTCCATTTGTTATTGACTTTGTATGCTCTAACTGTTCTCTAAATTATCGAGTGTTATTATCACTATGAGATAGTTATTAAAATTGAAATTCGTTTACTTACTATATTCTTATTCTGAAGTGAATAAATTAATAAAATAATAATTGATTTTGTTGTAAAACTGAATGATTTATTATAGTTATTACAATATCCAAAATTTTATATTATATTTGCAAATCTACTTGTTATTATATATAAATTTTTTTTTTGTCTTTTTCCATTTGTTATTGACTTTGTATGGCCTAATTGTTCTCTAAATTATTTAGTGTTATTATCACTATGACATAGCTATTAAATTGGCGAGAATTCAAAATCAAAGTGGGAAAGAAAAGAGTGGAAGAGCGAAAGATACGAGGACGTTGGGTAGCGACATGCAAGGTGAGCCAAACAAAAGTATGGTGGCAGAGAGACATGTTCGGGTGGTGGAAACTGAGACTAAGTTATAAAAGGGCAGTTTTAGAACCCCAAAGGAAAAGTAGAAGGAGATAGCTAAAAACTATCTTCTTCCCAAAAATAAAAGGAAGGAGATAGGAAAGGGTTGAATAAGAAAATTAAAAAAACAAATCCTTGGTGAAAATAAAAATGGGTAGGGTTTCGATGATCGCGTTGATGCTTTGCCTGATGGCAGCAACGGTGAGGAGCGAGGACCCTTACCTCTACTTCACGTGGAACGTCACATACGGAAGCGTAGCCCCATTGGGTGTTCCCCAACAGGGTATCCTCATCAACGGCCAATTCCCAGGTCCAGAAATCAACTCCACCAGCAACAACAACATTGTCATCAACGTATTCAACTACCTGGACGAGCCCCTCTTGTTCACGTGGAGCGGTATCCAGTTGAGGAAAAACTCATGGCAAGATGGAACATTGGGCACCCAATGCCCCATTGCCCCAGGCACCAACTACACTTACCACTTCCAGGTCAAGGACCAAATCGGAAGCTACTTTTATTATCCTACCACAGGTATGCACCGTGCTGTCGGTGGATTTGGTGGTCTTAGGATCTACAGTCGCCTGTTGATCCCCGTTCCATATGCTGATCCTGCTGACGAGTACTGGGTCCTCCTCGGGGACTGGTTCGCCAAGACACACCAGACCCTAAAGCAGTTCTTGGACAGTGGACGCAGCCTCGGCAGGCCCAACGGGGTCCACATCAACGGGGCCAATGCTGGGCTTGAGCCCCTCTACACAATGGAGCCCGGCAAGACTTACAAATTCAGAATCTGTAACGTTGGCCTCAAGGATGCCCTCAACTTTAGAATCCAAAACCACCCCATGAAGCTCGTTGAGATGGAAGGCTCACACGTTGTTCAGAATGTCTACAACTCCCTCGATGTCCATGTGGGACAGTGCTTCTCCGTCCTCGTCACCGCTGACCAGCAACCCAAGGACTACTTCATGGTTGCCTCTACACGCTTCACCAAGAAGGTCTTGACTGCCACACGTGTCATTCGCTACACCAATGGCGTCGGCCCCGCCTCCCCCGATCTCCCACCCGCACCTGAGGGCTGGGCCTGGTCCTTGAACCAGTTCCGCTCCTTCCGTTGGAACCTTACCGCCAGCGCTGCAAGGCCCAACCCACAAGGCTCATACCATTACGGCCAAATCAACATCACCCGCACCATCAAGCTCGTTAACTCCTTCAGCCGCGCCACTGGGAAACTCCGTTACGGACTTAACGGTGTCTCTCACGTCGACCCTGAGACCCCTCTTAAGCTCGCTGAATACTTCGGAGTCGCCGACCAGGTCTTCAAGTACGGCCTCATTAGTGATGAACCCGCTCCCACTCTCGGCGACCTCACCGTTGCTCCCAACGTCATCAACGCCACCTTCCGCAACTACATTGAAATCATTCTAGAGAACCCCACCAAGGTTCCCCAATCTTACAACTTGGATGGCTACTCTTTCTTTGCAGTCGCGTAAGTCTCTCATACTCTTAATTAACCACTCTTTTTAATTATCTCTTCTCTTACATTCATTATTTTCCTTGTTCATCTTATTATAGCATTGAGCCTGGAAAGTGGACCCCCGAGAAGAGAAAGAACTACAACCTTCTTGATGCTGTCAGCCGACACACCATTCAGGTGTTCCCTAAGTCTTGGGCCGCAATCATGTTGACCTTTGACAATGCTGGAATGTGGAACTTGAGGTCAGAGCTCGCCGAGAATCGTTACCTTGGCCAACAAATGTACGTCAGTGTCTTGTCTCCTGAGCGTTCTCTCAGGGATGAGTA